CATTTCTCAAAGATCTCGGGTAGTTCGCGCACAAGCTCCTCCGTCGCCTTGTCGACAAGCTCCTTGGGAAGTTTGGAGAATTGATCCTCCTGGTCCTTAAGGTACGTGTCCCACACGCCCCTAATCTCTAGTTAGGCATCGCATCACCAAGTTAGCTCTGGCGCAAGACTTTCACTTTATCGTCCTTCAAACTCACTTCTGTCAATCTCATTTTTAGCCCTCCGGTTAACCTCGAGGAGGTCCCAGACCATCGATGCCGGTATGTCGTAAATCTTCGTCGTGGGGGCTTTGATTTTTGAAGTCGAGGCCGCCATTTTGTGTGGGTAAAAGGTGGAGTCGTAAGGAAGTGGAAGCTAGACGACAGCTTATAGTCCAGGACATGCCACGTGCCTCCTACACCCTGGCGCAACTTGGTAGCTGTCCCCGCAGTTGAACAAGTACTGGAGTATGATACATCTTTCTGTTGTGTGACCGGTGGCTTCGGGTGGGCCGAAACCTGTTTCAGAGGCAACCGATGAAGTGAGGGGATTGGAAACGAACGGGGAGAGCGATGGAGTACTTATGAACCTGTTTATCTCAACGCTATGAGAGCCAAACTTTCCATCTCTTCTATATGCTCAACAGGGTTGGGCACCCAGCTTTGCTCATTGATTTTTCGCCGACCGCCAGTACGAGTGATAGCAGATGAAACAACGCGGGGTTGTTCGACAAAGTGCGGGGATGGGCCGACCATTGAGTGCGCAAATGTCTTGTTATTCGTCTAGTCTCGATGTCACAGCCCCAATCGAACAGAAAAAGAGCTATCTGCGGATACCCCCACGAGGGTCACATATTGCGCGGCTAACTAAATCCGAGCAGGAGACTCCATTTGTGTCGGAAATCACAAGTTTTTGTGTAGGTGTATTGAGGTGCTGGATATCTGTTGGACTACATGTTCGTCACTATTGGGGAGTAGGGGAATTAAAGAATAATAAAAATATATAGCGAAAACTTCTGGATTGCATCAGCTGAAGGAGTACTTTGGGTCTATTGTCTCTAATCCTAATAGAACTTATGTACACTTTGTTCTGTGCTGTGTTCCATGCTGCAGGGCGGACCTCTACCCCGGCGCAGGGAATATCCTCTTCCATAGCCGAACCCCTTAATTATGGGACAGAACATCCATAGGCTGTTATGGAAACTGCGAAGAAAAAAGCTACAACTCTATACAGGATATAGGGTAGAAGTGATGAGTAGCTATAGTGTTGCATGAGGTCTCCTTACCGGTGCTGGGTCTGATAGAGCTGAAAGGATAGCCAATGAGACGAAACCGAAACATTGTAAGGATTCCAGGGGCCTTTGGCAGACATCTATAGAATTCCAGAGGCATGGGCGATCCTCTAATCCACATATCCAACAGTCCCTACCGATAGTGTCGTCCACCCATCTCCGGGGTGTTTCGGGGCCATATCCAGTAACCAACATTTGCTCCTGCACAACTCCGGACCTGAATTACCGGACCAATTTCTGAAAATGTCCATTACCATATGCCAACGCTGGCTGTGGCTAAGCTGCATCCGTGGGATTTGGTTTTACCGGTAGTCGGTTTAGGTATTAACCTGGTGGCAACCCCAGCACCGCTTTACCTTTCCCGTCGGATAGAACCTAGACTTGACAAACCCGTGCTGGTTAGAATAGCAGCCGCCTAACCCACAGATGAGGCTATGAGTTGGTCTGACAGCTCGGGACAACCAAAGAAACGGCTACGGAAGGTGGCTGTGTGAGTGAGATCCCGGTGAATAAAGCGCACCTAAAAAAGGGGAAAGGATGGGCTGGGTAATCGATAGAGAAGCTAGCTAAGAGTTCTCGGGCATAGTTCATCGTCGGTCCGTTATTGTATTTGGTAGCACACTAAGGCCGTATCAAAACGTTGAAAAAATGGGCATTCTAATTTCACACATCGCGCGTCCGCCCTCCCACAAATTATTACATAAGTACTAGTGCATCTATGAGCAGCCAAGAGTCTAAGGATCCGGGATCTGAGTTTGATTTTTTTGTCAAACAAGTTGGAGATTGTTCAGTGCAGATGGTTTTGTAATTTCAACGTAAGTGCCAAAAGGTCTGTAGCAGTGCCCACAGAAAAATGCACCATAAGAATAGAGTGGGTTACCCTCCAGGAGCTATATCATAAGACAAAAACACTAGTAGGGAGGTTCCCGGAAGGAGTCGAAAGGTGACTGTTTGAGGAACTAGGGTACTAGTATACAAAGAGTAGTAGAAGAAGAGATGAAGAATTCTTTGACCCAATTCGGGAGCGACCATCATGTCAAATTTCGGGATACTGGTATATCTCTACGGTGGTGCTACTCTGCTTCTATACTCTGATCCCAGTAATCTCGTCTGAGACAGATACTGTTGGATTGCCGGTACCAGTACCGTAAAAACTGGAAAAATCGGGAATCTTGATCTCTGCTAGGATGTTGGAGTTGCCTCTCCTAGTAAGGTCAGTTGCATTTCCCTTCTCACTCGTCTCAGCCGAGGGCTAAGAGGGAATCATTTCACTGTGTTTTCTCCCACTTATTCAACGGGTGTCACTCTCAATAGCCCGTTTTTAGGGTACAGTACAAGTACCGGTAGCTGTAGTCTTTTAATTATGACTAGGATTCAACTTGGCCATGTCCCGGAGCCCTATGAACCAGATCATAGGGTCCTGTTTAGGAATGCCGGGGGTCTGCCTCGTTGACCGGTAGTCATTGTTTTTTTGTCTGCAGGAGCGGCAGTGCGACATCTCGGCTGCACAACAAGTCGTGACATGGGTACTCGTAGTGTAACCAAATTCTTTGTAGTCACCATTGCCGAGACCCCAAGGCAGTACTGTATCGCATTGCCCTGAAGACTAGCGTGCATGTAGTTTTCGTAGTCGATCCTTGTACTGTACTACAAGAACGGCTGAAGCATGACCATGATACCAAGCCTCAGTAGTCATCTTCAGCCTACGCCCAATTATTAGCTCTCCCATACTCGAGTACTGGTTGGTACAGCGCCGGTACATGGAGACCACTGCTGGCACTTGTGCTGAAGGAATTAAGGTAGTATCGTAGATAGATGGAGTAGCGGTAGAGTCATGATTCGCTTGGGATTTGGGTCCTATGTAGGAAATTTAGAAAAGGTATGGTTGACAACCCAGTCCTCTTCTTTGACTAATTCTCGCCCCCAAAGTAAACTAACCGTAGAGAGGGAGGGGTGTCTCATGATCCGCTCGTGTATACTCTATCATGATCGAGCATGTTCGATCATGACCGATCACTCTATTTTTATATGTACGTGGATCAAGGTAGTATAAAAACTGCCTACCCCGCACACTTGATAACATATTCTCATCGAAACCCCCTATTGTTAATTCTTCGATATACTTCCCTTCGAAATTCTCGTTTTGAAAGTGACCTCACTTTCACCACCCCCGACAGTGGCAGAAACGGTACTACACCAGTATCCAACACCCCAGGCGAACGGAATAGCGCCAATCACTCCAACTCACAAATATTGGAGAAATTAGTAGTTAGAAATGGAATTCTATCACATTTTGACATATGAAAGCGACTCTAGTGGAGAAAAGCTTTTCATAATCAACTAGACTCGAGCACAATCGACTGTGCTCGAGAACCCGGTCAGGGCCCACTAATTTGCTCGAGAATTTGAGCACGCTCGTGTTCATTGCTCTACACTAGGAGTCGGGCGTATAGTGTGGAGTTTTAATGATCTGCCACCTACGGATCTGTGCTCTACGAGACTGCATTCCGCAGGCTATGGAGGATATTCAAAACAATGCTACTTAGCCCTCCTCAGTGCCCTCTGACTTTGCCTCTCTACCAGGAGTCTTGCAAGCGCATGGTATACCTGTCCCGACCAGCCTATTGAATGTCGCTTAATCTAGAAAAAGGTTACCCAGCCAGAAATAGAGACCGGGGTTCCTCAGATGCACATCCAACTGGATCGGGTCAATAGCCGTAGGCAGCCCAGCGGGGTTCGCACTTGCGGTGTATAAGAAAAACTTCGAAAGAGCGATCAATTATGTCCCAGGAACTTCTACACTCACACACACTAATGATACCGTGTAACCCCTGACTTCTTTCTCTACGAGTGGTAAGACATGGATCCACTTGGCACTTTCCCTCTTGCGAAATTTCATTTCTAACAAAATTCACAATGTAATAGAGATACCGCTAGCTAGTTGTCTGCAATAGCAACATATAATTTGATACACATCTCCAAAGAGGTAATTGAAACAGTGGGAAAGTACAGGGAATACAAGAGAGCACTCAGTGTTTTCTCAAGTCGCGCCTCTACAAACAGCACCGGTATCATCGTGCTTTAGTCGACGCAGTTAGAGTTCGTTCCTTATAGCCTCAATAGAATATGGGATAGCTTCGATATGTCACCAAAACAGCGGTTACATGGAATTATGTCTAACTGGATATAGTATATATCTGATTTGTGGTGGCGCTTGGAGGTATGTTTCGGGGATTGGCTGTGGCCATGTGCGCCCCTGGTGCCACGATGTTGGAAGTGCTATGATATCATAATCCTACCCACACTTAAAGCATGACTATGTGTGGAAACGGGGCACCATAATAAAAAGACTGCGATCTTTTCCGGTGCGGGCCGAGTGGTTTTAGGATTGACGGGGGATAAGTTATTCCAGAGAGCTGATACGGTAGAAACTCCACCCCTCCATCGAAGGACTACCCACGGTAGGTTTTAACCGAAAGCGCACTTTCGCAACCCTCGCCGGCTGCGACAGTAGAATGCAAAATCAACCAATCAGCATCCCCGAGTGCCTATTCCCGAGGTTCCGAAATGATTGCTATCCCTGTAAGTTGCATTTCCCTGAGTTGTTCCTAGCTGTGAAACGCCTACGATTGACAGAGCCAGACCTCGCTCACGAGTGAGTGCACACCAAGACACCCGGCTGTGTAGGGGGTTTAACCTTTTTCTTATTTTTTTTGTGTCCTGGTTTGTGTAGAGATGGTAAAGTACAAAATTAATGAAGTAGTGAGCGCAAGAGTTAACAATGACATGAAGTAAAAGCATCAAAGATCGTGATGAAAATTCGAGGTGTAAATGCCGACAAGAAAAATGCGACCCATATGCAACCCAATGAAAAGAAAAAGGAATGAAAATGCACTACATTACAATAAAACGAAAGCAAAAGAAAAAATTAACCCTAAGGACGGAAAACCTCCTCTATATTCGCCAAATCCTTCTTGTACTCCCACTTATCATCCCCAATAGGAATCCCATACCCACACTTCCACTGAAAATAGGCATGCGTAACCATCCACCCAAACCTATCAATCTTAGCATGGAGCTGTTTATCCGTGAAGAGATACGGCGGCCCCATCCTCCTTATCAACGCCGAAGTGTGCGCGATCTCCCTCGCAAGCGTGGTCCCGAGAACCTGCCAATTGCTAATGCTAGGTACTCCATCACCCTGATCCGGGCACGCGGGGAGAGAACTGAGTGGCCGCCGGTACTCGGCGTGCGCGGGATCGAAGATCTTGGTGCAGGCGTAGAGGAAGTTATTCTCCGGGTTCGTGGCGGCGAGGCGGGATGTTGTGTGGTCGGGCTCTTTCAAGCTGTCGCACGCGGGTGTCGGGGCCTCGCAGTCGACGAAGATAGTGCCGAATTCGGATTGCGGGAGGACGTACTCGTTGACGCTCGCGCAAAGTTTCAGGAAGAGGTGGTAGTCAGCTATCGGTAGCCAGTTTTGGAACCAGTTGTTGTGGGCCGTTGGGCTGAGTTCCATTGCTCCGAGCACCATGGTCCGAACGTCTTCGAAGCCTGTGCGGAAAACGTTTGTGGCGTCTCGGAGGCCGTTGCCTAGTTGTGTCGTGCGACAGCTCTTTCCGTAGTCCTGGGGCAGTTTGAGGTCGCGGGATATGAGCGCTTCGCTCGATGATCCTGCCGGGGCGGCGATGGTGGTGATGGTTTGGAGGAGGATTGGGAGGAGAGGAGTAGTGAGCTTCATGGTGACAAGATGTAAATAAGTGAAAATAAAAATAAAAAATGGATGAAATGCTAGAACTCCGAAAGATGCTATGCCATGAAACTGGAAATCGTGAAATCGAAAACAAGAGACTTGCTGTGTGATGAAATTAGAAGAGATATCCAAAGTGGCTTTTCAGCTCAATTATATACAACCCGCCTTCCATATGCGCCTTAATTACCCAGTGTGTAGTGCGATCTCGATAATCAATGACACCGCCGCCACCACCACGATCTACCGTGCATGCCCCCGCTCCACCCTCTCTCAGAAGCCAAAATAAAACACGCGCATCCCCAGACGTTGACTCCCGCAGACCAGTTGAGGAAAATCTACTAATAGGATCTGCGAACCCGGGAACCGGGTTTCGAAGCCAGCAGAGACCTAATCTGGACGAAATCTACTAATTTTAGCTGAGCTACTCCAGAAGCGGAAGTGCGGACGGGTAATTTCCTCACAAGGGTAATTTCCTCACAAGCGTAACTTCCTCACGAGGGTAACTTATAGATGAAACGAGAGTGGCGGTGTTTAGGGTTGTTACAGTTGTGTAACGGCGGCGGGTACCCGGGGGATACTATTACTATTTACCGTGTATATTTATTTTTTGATCCACCTTTTCTGGGGAGGGAGACCTGGGGCTCCCTGGATACCGTATTATATTTTTGATGGAGCGGATAAGTTACGGAGGGTTTATCAAGTCCTGCAGGCTCGCGACAGATTGTTCTCTCTCACTTGGGCACATCTCTTCACTTCGAAATCTGTACCTCAAGCAAATAGCTATCCACCTACTAGTGCATAGGGTATAGGGGTAGTTTAGATGAATGCGGGCCCCAGAATTTCTATGTGTTTGCCAGCGAAGACATCGGCATACCTTACTGGGGCTCCGCTATGATAGCACTGTTTGGTAAATACGCTGCCTACCAAATCGCCACGCTGCGCGCTAATCCAGCGCAACCACATTGCAGCCCTGCTACGAGTAAACAACTGGTTCACCCATACAGCGCCATCCATCCATCCATTGGTATCTCTCCCACCAAACAAGGAAAGTCCTTCCTTCCCTCCTCCCTCAGAATCACACGATCATAGCCTTGCTCCAAAGTCTATAATTACCCACCACGCACCGCTACCGAATATAGTTATAGTTTCGGCGGGCAGATTTGTGGGGAACCCTAGCCCGTCCTAGTTATCTATTTAATTAACTTCCGAACAATACACTCGAGTACGAGTACAGAGCACGAAAATCGGCGGGTGACGAACAGGGATTAGTAGCAGGTGTTTTTGTTTTGTTATGATACTCTCTACATGCACCCTGACGAATTTCCTTTATTGTCTTCCAAAATACCCCTGTCCGTGACCCACCGGATTTCGTGCCCCTGTTAAAAACGGTACCGGTATTTGGGCATCACTCCTACAATACACGCCGCGGGTTGCCCTGTGCACGTGCGGGCCGGTGCCTTTTTTTTTTTTTTTTTTTTTGTTAAATCGTAGAATCTATTTGCTTAAAGGTGCAAACCTCCACTATAAGAGCACAGTCCGGCTAAAGCATGGATCCTAGATACAAGGGCACCTCTGCAATAACCACCCCACACCCCCAATTTAGTCCTTAGACATGCTGGTCAAAAACCTCCTCCACAGGCCTAGGGGAAAACAAGCCAGCCCAAGTCCCTCTGGTATGTGACCAACTGCACATCCCCCCCATGAAAGCTCCTTTTGCACAAAACAAAAAAAGCACAAAACAGGACCGGAAGGAGCCAACAAGAAAACCCACACTGTATTCTCTTGAGAAAAAAAATACAAAAGAAACTCAACAAAGGAAACCACCTTGATAAACCATGTTCCCCATTTTTCAGCTGGTCCAGCCTTGGCTAGCAGCTAGGAATATAGGGGAGAACCATGATGCATTCGCTTCATGTGATGAAGGCAACCGACCTGGACATGCCAGCCCCCAGTGGAGTGATCGCTTATGGCTGGTCGGATGGGTGAATGACCAGAGGCAGTGCAATACCAACTATGCGTTGCTGAGTAACCCAGTCATTGGTAAAGTAGTAAACCCAACCGAGTAAAATAACCCAGAGGGGTGGAGGAGTAGTCGCAACCTTGCACAGCTTAGCTGAGGTGGCCACCATGGAGGGAGGGGGAGGACAGGAACCACAATCTGGTAGAGGGACCCAAAGTCCAATGCCAGAGGGGGTGAAAATTTCGTTTAGCCTCACGATGAGGTTTGGTGTCCAGGCTTATGAAGCTTCCAAAGTTCAGCACAGGAGAGAGGATTGTGAGGTGGTAGAGCATGGTGTTGACTACCGCCACCACCTTCCCAAACAGGAAGGTGAAAAGCGGGGTCAGGAAAATAGCGGAAGAGAAGCTTGTGCGGGCCGGTGCCTACTGGTACAGTAGTTGTACAGTAGTTCGAGCTGGGGCGAGGGCAAGGGAAGTGGGTGACTTGCGGAGAGCACCGTGCACCGGGTCCAGCGGTGTCACGGTATCGATAAGCTAATTTGGCCCAACGTAGTATTTTGAGCACAGTAATGTAATACTGGAGTGGTGCGTTGTATTACAGGGATTTATTTATTACATGTACGATACTGTATGATTGAAGCACTGCATGGCAAATTATAATACAATGAGTTCCAGACCGAGCAGGTCGAGCACTGTATATATCCGGCGTAGTATACCCTCCCTTGTAAAATAACCGCTGTGTATGCCACACCTGCTTTTTGATAAGATACCTTATATTGTACTGTGCCGTTCATCATCTCTGCAACACCATAATGTAAGGTAAAAGTGCAATAACCTAGATCGTGGCGCAAGATCCCCGATTAGAAATTCTAGGCAGGTGCATATAGTTGTGCACTTGCCTGACCCGTGCGCTACTAGGAAGTGCTAGTTTGTCCTCCAGAACAATGCAACTTTAGCTGGTTGGAGCGAGAGTGGCTCTTGGGCAGGCCAACGAGGGTCCGGGCCTTCTGTGGGTAAGAGGAGGTGTAAAAGAGGAAGGGCGTCCAGGGATGGCGGTGAGAGGTTGGGTGAAAATCGGAATACTATCAGTGGTGGTATGTATTGCACTCAGACTGACTTGAACTGTAAGACTAAAGCTGCATTGACCGGGACATTACCGGTGTAGTGATAAACGACGCCCTTCACGCAATTCCCCGAAATAAAATCCAGGAATCCCCTGGCAACGTGTGCCTTTGATCAATAGGCGCGCCATGTTGAAGAAGGAAATACTAGCCACTTCAAGTTTCTCGTTCAGGCTTCCGTCAAAGAACTAAAACTAAGGGGCACCCTCAGTGTGCATGGAGAAGTATTCTATGATAGCCTGGTCCGAAATAAACAATATACCGGTACTCGCTCTATGCCGAAGCGAATATTAGATAATATCTAAATTATTATATTGAGAGAGCTTACTAATCAAATATGGGGGTGTTTTAAATTTAAAACCTCCAAAGAAAAAATGAAAACAAAGTCCTTTTATTTTTTTCACAAAGCCGCCTCTTTCCCGCATCCACCTACAGCATTAGGCAGGTATCAATAACGGCACATATCCATCGTGTGCGGAAGAATTATTAGGTACAGTAGTATGGCGATGCATGGTTTGCTACGGCGTCGGGACCGACATCAGAAATTTGAATGTACCGTGCAGGTACCCGGGACTATACGGTGCCAGCACGTTAATCTATTAGCTGCAGCAGGGAGTCCCTATATTTCTATTTATCGATATAAGCTATCATCACCTGGACCATCAAGACATTGAACATCCCCTGCCGCCCTCGTCGGTTTCTGAGACAGATGACTAAGGAGAGCTTGACCCTCTACCTCGGTATTCCTCATTCAATCATTTTATCTAACAGGCGCCGCCTAAAGGCATGTGGACAGACGGCATTACAACTGGGTAAACCAACCCTTATCCCGCTTATCCCGCTCTACCTCTAGAAATTATCATCCAGAGATTATCCGCGTAGGTGTGGTCATACGGCTAATATTAGTTCTGATCAGGGGTCTCCACGTGGTCCGTGGTACTGGAGTACTTTCTAGATCTACTCCGGGAGGCGGATGCCGGATCAGCTCCTCCTCTCTAGCTAGCGAACAAAAATCGATTGAGTAGGCATTTGGGGATCCTTGGCTGTTGATAAAAAGTTACTTATGAGCCCCTATCTTAGACGATGACAGGAGTGGCAGGGGACACGGCATTTTCAGATATCTTCCTGGCCTGGGAGATAGCCAACTAAAATAGTAGATAGACGGTTCCTGAGTGGATGATCACTACTGACATCTAGCCCTCGTCGATTCGTAGAGTGTCCGGAAATAAACGCCAAGAATCAGCGTTTTATGTCCTGGTGGGACGATTTTGACACCTGCTTCCAGATAGCGGTGCTTTTACCAGTTGGATGGCCTATAGCTTAAATTCCAAAGTCAAAGATTTCTAAGTGTTTCGTTGCTTTACGGAGCATACCTCTACCGGAATAATAGTGACTGAGAGGGGAGCTGCCAACTCATTTGTGCTTTACCCAATCATTATGACAGCCTCGGTTTATGTGCGTCGGCGGGTGTTTTAGCACTGCAGTGGTAGGTCAGTGATCTCCGCATATGGCTCGGGAGAAATAAATGGGATGTTAACGATTTAGTTCTGGTGAACAGGACAAAAAGCAGGAAGAAATAAGGTTAATTCGGCCACAAAAAACTTGCTGCCTAGACTTAAACTGGGTCACCCGGCGTCCTCTCCCAAAACAACTAAAATAACCATAACCGAACCAAGTTCTATGCTGTCATATTGAAGTTTCTTCCTCCACTGAGATCTGGTGTCTTTTTTTTGTCTTTGTTTTTATTTTCGTATTTTTTTGCCTCACAGCGCTGAACTGCTGTGCTCCCCAAACCGAGAGATTCTTTACTACATAGCACAAGGTCAACTATTCCTATTTTTGCGGCATGATATACAGCATTTACATTGGGCACAGTTTCTAAGTTTCTCACCCTCCTTACATCCATCATGTCTATCTCAAACAGGCTTTTAAGGCGTGATTAGCACACCGTAATTTGAGATAGCAATTTAGGACCGCCAATCACCACATGCAGAAAGGGATTATGTGAGCAGGTTCCGGGTTCCCCTATTTGTCAATTACCAATCGCTTTCTCGAAAAATATTTGAGAGGGTGGGATATATCTCAAACCACGGCGTGCCAAACACATCCCGAAGCCTGCCTATTCCCCATAGTCTAATCTCTCGAGGTTTTCTCACTGGAGGCTCTGTATCTATACCGTGCTTTTACATCACAGGAAGAAAGAAGGTATAAAAGGAGAACGAACCGAATAATTTTAGATCTCGATAATTTATTTTTATTCTACCAGTGAAGACCGGAGCGAGGGCTTGGGGATCCCGATATAACTCCCAGGCATACACTGATTTTTTCTTTCCCCTCTCCATTACGCAAAATATTAGGATTTGCTGGTCATGCAAGATAGATTGTCCCCTAAACTCACCCGACATCAACTTTGTTGAGCACTACTGACAGAAGCTTAGGGGAAAGCTACATAAGACGTTTCCTAACAAATAGCCATCTATTGAAGTAGCCAATGTGCTGTTAGGAGGCTCCTAGCAGAAGCCCTTAACGGGGCTGGACTAAGGAAAGCTGAGGGGATTTATCGGGAAAGCTATCCGAGTTTTTCAACCTCAGGGATTAGTTACAATTTTGGAAGACAAGGGATGATATGCCAAAAATTAATTTTAAGGGATATTCTTGTGCTTTCACCCCAGCTCTACTGTCTCCCCCAACCAATCCGAGCTTCCAGGTGTGGTGGTGAGGTGTCAAATATCACTTGTGAAAGCACCCGTTATTTCATGGACCGACCGAAATATCTATCACCGTAATCTATGACATGTCTGCTCACCTTCCGAGAGAGGCAAGGAATACAGACAAAACAGAAGGCACAGATTGCACATAACTTCCCGAGGGCAATCGAAACCGGCCTTGGGTTGAATAACGCCACTTCCGAGATGGCGACGGTAGCCAGGGGGATACCCTTACAAGCTCGTAAAAATGTTTTATTTTTAAAAAAAAGTAATCACGAGTAGCAGAATGGGAAGCACATTTGCGCCTCGTTCCGGGGATAATCACACATTCTGCTTTGGCCGGCAAAGTTAACCAGAGCCCCTCGATAACCCAGAAATTTACCTAAAGGGACTCTTAACCACTCCCGTAACATATTCTGCCGAAACGCAATTCTTTTTTCTCGGGGATCTGCTTCCTTACTACGTGGCTCTGCTCAAATAGTAATCATTCTACGAATCTATCCCTCGGAGTTTAGATGTATCTATATAGTATCATATAACATTTGCTCATGATATCCGGTGTTTATTACTCCACACAACCCCAAACAAGGCAATGCTCAAACCCTTAGAACCATCTCTAACACCTCTCGTCCTTAACGAGCTTTCAATACCCCTCTCCGCTGATCAAACCCTTATTCATAACATCTCTATTCCCATCACCGGAAGAGAAATATAGTTCCGGACTCTGCCGGTAAAGTGTGCACAAGGTACGATATCCAGCAGCGCGCGACGCTTTGGTATAAAACCACCCGCAAAAAAAAAAACCGAGTCTATGACCAAATCCGGACCATAGTAGAGTTACTCCTTTTTTTTCTTTCTTTTTTGTCTGAGAGGTTTGGTTCTTTTTTTTTGATAGGAATGGGCATTGAACCTAGTTGCCACTTTCTTGAACTCTGAATCTGATTCTAATGCGCCTCCCGTTAAAAGATAATCGGTGCACACAATAGAGCCTGGAACCATCATAACATGGTGAAAAACTTTTCCCTCTTCACAATATTTTAGGCGCGCACCGGGTAAGCCATACTACGCACACCCCCAAGTACAAATACGAATACAAATACGAACGCATTTCAAAAACCTGTGGTCTAGCCATGGGTGGGGAAACATGCCAAGAAAATAGTACAGGGAGAAAGGTGTGAAATAGGAAAGTATCGTATACAAACAGACGGCACCCCTCGCCTCCTACGTACCATCTACGAGCAAACCACCAAACCTCCTACCGGCTTATCACGGCGGCAGGCATTGCACTTCCCAGTAAAACACACAGGCCGCTTACGATACCACATCCGCATTCCCCATTAGTGACAGTGCACGAACACCCTCAACAATGACTAATCCAATTCCATAGTGAGCAAAAATCAACGCCATCAATCCAGTAATACATTATAGTCGGCAATTCGCAGTGGAAATGATAATGGGCGCATGGTTTAGGGGTATAATATCTCATTTGCAATGATCTGATCATAACTTGAGATGGTCCTGGGTTCGATTCCCAGTACGTCCAGTTTGCTTTTGTTTTTTTCCTTCTTTCCACTTCCTGGACTAGGTTAAGAGGCTAACTAAGCTCAGCGCTTAGTGCTTTTCAGCCTCTATATCTTCAGCATTGGTCTAAATGCCCGTCGGCAGCAAGTAAGTTAAGGGCAACAAGGGCTATCAAAACCTACGAAACTCAATTACTAGATTTGAGTTCCGTGGTGTTAATGCACTAGCGTACTAGGCACTATACTGGTACAGTCGCACCCCACTGTCCCGGACCTCGCTCTCCCGGATCCCCCGTTGTCCCGGACGAAATTCTCTGAGCTCTGAATTTTTTTGCACCAGGACGTACCCCGTTGTCCCGGATAATCCACTGTCCCGGACAGATTCAGCGGATTTTGGCCGTCCGGGACAGCGAGGTGCGACTGTACTCGTGTCTCCGCGCCAAGAATTAGAGCCCGTTTCGGAGTAGACAGCGGACACATGAGAAGTATAATCGCATCGCTATTAGAGGACCAACTCACGATTTCCGGTGATCAGTGTCGTCAGCAGATAACGGACCAGCGCGTAGTATACCGAACCGGCCGGTTGATGGCTGCGGTGCTGGGGGGGAAGGGGCAGGGGCCAGTCTTCTTCGACACCCCCCCCGCGGGTTATTGGTAGAAGTAGGCATCCCGGAATCACTGCCTGTCTGTTCGTCCGGGTTACTAAATAAACGAGTGATGGGGGGGGTGATCCATGGGGGTGGCAGAGGGGTAAATCGGGTCGCCGGTTGAGAGAGCACCCAAAGGTCGACATGAAAGATCGACATCTGCGTTCTTGGGTGGATTATGATACTTTAATCTGCGGGAAAAATCCGAACACAAACCTCAGTGAGCCAATGTAGGGGTTTGAACCTCTTCCTTCGGTTTCGCGGTCATGTCATGTTATTCTGGTGAGCAAGAAATCAGCGGTAGTGGGACCAACCACCGTATCACACCAGCGCATTAGAGCCGAGTTTTCCGGGAGTATGTCGGCTACAATGACATATACCGCGAGTTTACGTTGTATTCATAAGGGGGGAACATTCCAGTGCATAAACAACCGAATTAGGAACCTTAGACTAGAAAATTGGTATCCAAACATAGCCTTCACAAACTCCAAACACTACCCAGGTCCACTCCTAGATCGCTACCACTACCTACCATCCTCCCTGTCCAACCCCCTCTCCTTTACAACCCCCCGCGCCTTCTTTCCACCCCTGTTGCCAACCTTCCCACCAACCAGCGTTCCATGAACCCAATCCAACACCCCCCAAGTGGAATAATTTCCCATCCCCTTGGAGGAATAATGCACCGCAGTCCTCTTCCCCGCACAACCCACCAAGCCTGAAAAGAAGGGCTTTCCATACCCACTATGAGTAAAGGCTTCTTCCAGCGATACAATTGAGATGAAGGCAAAGTATGTTAGCGCGTGGAAATGAAGGAACGCGGCGGGGGCGTAGACCGGTATGAAGCGGTGTATGAGGTATGGCAGTGGATGGTCGTAGTGTGCTAGTGCGGGCCAGAGCGGGGGTGGGGTTGGGGGCGCATGTTGCCACCGGGTGTGGAGGCTGGTAGCAGAGTGGAGATAGTAGCGGTGGAGGTAGTATTGCAAAACCTATTACCCATTAATCCAGTCCCCCCACAAGTTCGCGGGCAAGGTAACAAACCTCCTTCAATACCAGTCCCCTCACTAAATCCCACACCACCCCGCCTGGCAATGGCATACTACTGGAAACCCTAACCGCGCTATTCCACCCCGCAACCTCCACAAGCGTCCACTCCACAACCCCTTGAGCCCCTACACCTAGCAGCATATTTCCCATCGCCACCGCGACCACCTTGCCAGCCCGCCTGTCAAACTGCGCATTCGTGCCGGTGTGGGTCTTCCATTCTGATGTTATGCTGGGAAGTGCCGTGTCCAGGAGGTAGAAGAATAGGGCCGGCAGCCAGAAGAATATGAATCGCGAGATCAGTGTTCCGAGGAGCTCCACGCGCAGCGGTGGGTGCGCTAGGAGAAGGGTTGACCAGGTTATGTAGAAGAAGAGGAGGTTTAAGCTTGTGCTCCAGGAGGGTGAGGTGGGGGTGAAGAGGAGGGTTAGGCCGCAGAGGGTGAGGAGGGTGTCTAGTAGCATTTTTGAGTGTTTTTGTCACTGTGGGTAGTTGAGTTTAGCGAGATGGTTTGGAGGATGCAGCATTATGCTGGACATGCTCGGGTTATCCTAGGATGGATGGGTTGACGTCACGTTCGTGGGAAATCAAGGAATGTTACGAATGACTTCTGGCGGAAAACCCTAACCCACTGCTTTGGAGGGTTGTTGAGGAGCTTGGTGGAAAGGGTTCGTGGTTGGTTATCTTCAATATGTACAGTACTGTACAGTACCGCGTGTCTATCTCAAAGTGCTGATCTTATCTGCACGCATCTAATCTGATAGCTGTCTCTGCATACCCTGTCCTGCAATATATTCACCTCTAATGTACACATGAAGAAAGAAAACATAGGTTACAGGACTGGAAAGAAATTTTTTAATTTTAATTTGTTAGTATCATTGCTGAGATAGTGTGAAAAAGAAGTGATGTGGGATGACTTACCATAATGATTGTATGGTGCTAGAGGAAAAAGAGAAGTGGTATGGGTTTAAGAAGGAAAGACTGTCAACCATGTGGCACAGTCAAATGCAACAGTGGCTGTGCAAAGATTGCCAAGAAAGTGAATGATTCACTATGAGGACGTGTAAATATTGTATTCCATAAGAAATATTAATTATATACAATAGTTTGAGAGTCTGAAACTCTACGATAACTGCTATATATCTTGGTAATCTTCTCTCCATAGTCTGGTGTGCCATAAGCAAAACCTTCATGGTATGCTCTCATCATTCTCTCAGTATGTGTCCAGAACTTCCAGATTAAAGTTGCCTTTACTGAATTCAGTCATTCAGGTAGTATTTTACTTAATGCATGATTATTGTATCCGCATTTTCCTCATGCATAGTGCTTTACAGCCTTCCAAAAGTACTCAATAAAATTGAGTTTGCAGTGATACTTAGGAAAAAAACCAATAAGGTGTCTGTAACGATCCCTCCTTGGATGGTTAGTTCTTAGTGACGGAGAACGATACTTCTCTTCTCTTTCTTCTTCTTTCTTCGTCTTATGACAGCACTAGGCCTCTGCCTACGTTACCGATAGTACAAGACCACTGTCTTCTATCAGGAACACCTATCGTAAGCTTTCTCTAACTCTTCTTCGTGAAGAACTTTCCTTGATGTAACAATAACGTTGCAATAAAGATAAAGATTGTAAAGGTGTTTCATATTCGTTAAAGTAATAAGTAGGAAAAGTACTTAGAACAAAGCGTGAAGAACCTATCCTCCTTGGCCGCATCGGCCTCCTTATATAGTGTTCTTCCCACCCGTAGTCATGTGACCCAAAGTGGTCACATGTGCGAAATCAACTCATAACAAACTAGTCATGTGACCGAGATTGTCATATGCTCAAAACCCATGACCTCATAATGAGGTCATACACAAAACTCATAAACCAATCATAATGTAATAAACAAGTCATATGACTTGACTGAGTCATATGAGTGAAATCCATGACCTCATAACGAGGTCATGTGCAAAACATAAATCATATGCACCAGGCGTATCCGCAAGGCATACTTGTAAGGCATACTCGCCAGGCGTACTCCCATGACTCATATTTGAGCGATATGCGAAAGCATTACAAATCCCACACATAACAAATCATATGACTCGAATGAGTCCTATGTGTGAAACAATAACATACCTGTGACTTATAACCATGTGTCATGTGAAAGCCTTTTCCTCGCCAAGCCATATTCGTGACAGTGTCTATTTAATTCCACCACTTCTTCCATGCTGCTTCTTTGAGCTTTAAAATCTGGCTCTTTGGCCATCAATGTTCTTGCACAATATGAGTTTTCTTTGAGGCATACTTTGTTCTTTTTTCTACCTGGTTTACTGTATTGCACTTGCAATTTTGGTTTCCATAGCCTCCTCTCATTCAGTACTTTTTGGAGTCCCTTTAGTGAACTATCTGGCCTTTCCATCAATTGAATCTCTCTAGTTAAAGAATTTATGCCTGGTCGAAGTAGTACCTGGCCTCCTTTTGGATATAAGTTTATTATACTTGCTCTGAAGGCATCCGGTGTATAGGCTGAGTGACTTGTAGCATTGTCAAACAGGAATAGAGCTCGGCAGCCAGGCAATGCAACTTTAAAGATGGGAATTGCCAGCTCTAGAACCTGCTCAATAAGTTAGTCACCATCTTACCACATATCAGCACTATATTTAATTGAACAGGTAGTAAGATGACAATCTCAATACTTTGGGCCCTTTTGTTGGTTTCTATATTCTGGGTTAGGATCAGGGTATTCATCATCAGGAACTCTTAGATATTTTCCGGGAGTAACAAAATTGGACACTCTCATCCCCTTAATATGTGATTTCTACTTGAGTGCAATATGATCATCTTTAATCCAAACCTTAGAATGACAATTATTTGCATTGAATGTAGTCTGATTATGGACAACCAATACATTAGACTTGACTCTCACTGGGAGATTTGGTGGAAATACTATTCAAAGCTCTTCACTTTCATTTGCGGCAAGCAACTCTCAGGGTACCAGTCGATCATCATATACTTTCAAGGTAGGCAAGAAATACTTCTACCTATATTTAACTATATTAGCCCGGATATGTTCCTCCTTGTAAGCCCCTTTTCCTATATCCTGTAGTTTATAGCCTATCTCCTGCAACCATTTTATGGCCGTCTGAGTGCTCAAAGTATCTTGTATCTTCTGTCTCTCTTCTGCCAATTGGGCTAGCTGGACTTTGATTTCTGGTGTATATCGTAATAGAGGTATTTTCAACACAGGCTGTTCTTTGAAGGGTAGTATCCCAGCCTGCCAATATCATGAAATGGCTTAAGCAACACTTTAGTCTGTAATCCTCCCTCCTGTGCCAGCCATGTACTCTCGCAAGGCTATCTTCCTTCCTTTATCATCAATCAATCGATGGAGCATAGTGGACTTCTGCTGATATGACAGAGGAATATGGAAGTTCTTAATCCAACTCTTTTCCTGTTGCATAATGCAATTTCCACTTCGTTCCTCATGACTACTAGTTGCTGTAACAATAGATGCCTTTTCTTTGGGAGTTCACAGCTAAAATGTTTTCTGCAGTCCGTATATATGGAATTGAAAGACTTCTAGAACTTGGAGGTACCATACAGAATTCTGTCCTTTTCACTTTCACCTCTTCAAGTTTAATAGTCTCTGCATATCATGAATTCCTAAAATATTTATTAATCATTTCAATATTCAAAATACTGTAAGTTTAAAGAAAATACCTTTTATCAAGATTTGAGGCTTAAGCCGCATTGATTGATACTTGAATAAGACTAGCTAGCATCTAACAGCTTTAGCCATATCATCTCTTTCCTGATTTACCTCCTCTTGCACTTCTGGCTCCCCCTCCTCCTGTCATCCAAGCTCTAATGCTTCCTCTTCTCTCCATTCTTCATCTTCTACCTCTCTCTCCTCTACTTCTTCTCCAACTTCTACATCCCTTATTCTCTTATCCTCCTTGATTCTCTCTTTTATCCTATCTCTTTCTACTTCTAAGACTGACATCTGATCCTCCTTCACATCTTGACATTTTCCTAACTGGGATTTACTTCCATCTTCCTGTGTTTGCAATTGAGTTTTTTTCTTTCTGCTTCAAATTGTTTGCTGACATGGGGTTTTCCCTCCTCTGTCTGTACCACTAAGGCTTACAACTAATCCAATACAATTCCAATTATTAGAAAGTTAGTTTTAGGTCCAGCCAACTATTATAATTTAAAAAACTTGGAGAAAACTTACTCAGAAGAATAACTTTCTCATTTGTGACTTCTGGCTCTGGTGTCGAGGCTCACTTCTCAAGTTGAACAGGATCAATATGCCTTTTGGATCAGCTATCAAGCTTGGGTGTCAGGCAACAGTGTTGTTTACATCATCTAATTCCAGCCATTTGAACAATGTAGTTGTTTATAGTGTAACGTGTTCACAAGATGCTAATTATGTTATGGATAAATGGTAAGATAGTTGGCAGGTGGCCTGCTCTACCAGAGAAGAGGCGAGAGCTGGAAACTAATACAGATTTTGAAAATGTACTGGGAAATGAAGAAGTAACCGTTCAACCAAGTATATTGAAATACTGTCTGTTAAAGTCTGCCTTTTTCCATCATGGAAAGAGGCGGTCTTTAAATACACAAATCTTGCTCATGGCTAGCATGAATGAAAAAAAAAAAAAACTAAACAAAGGTATCAAGCAATATCCTTTAGTAAAAACAAATCAAGTCTCAAGACGATACTTGAAACAAAAATAAAACAAAAGTAAGTACTAAATGATACTTAAAACAAACCAAGTATTAAAGCGATACTTAAAACAAAATATAAAACAAAACTAAGTATCAAATGGTACTTAAAACAAACCAAGTACCAAACAATACTTAAAACAACACATAAAACAAAATTAAGTATCAAATGATACTTAAAACAAACCAAGTATTAAAGTGATACTTCAAACAACACATAAAACAAAACTAATAACAGAGTACCTGTACCGGTTACATTCCTGAAAACAAAACAATTGTTTAACAAACAAAACCTAATAATCATCAGAAATGGTGTCCGAGAAGCTAAAAGCTTTAGTTTTTGCTATAAGTTCTTCATCATAAGTGCCACACCAGGCAAAAGAGGAAATCCTAAGAAAACATCTGGACTCAAAGAAATGCAGATGACAGTAGTTACAAATACCAGATTCATGCTGTACATCTACGCAAGTATTATTAAAATCAAGATAGCAGTCTACCCCAAAGGATCACAAAGTTAGTCTTCAGATTAAATAAAATTGCAGTTCCA